GGCACCCAGACCGACCAAGCATCATGCACCAAGACATGGCATCTAGACCTGGCACTCAGCACCCAGACCTGCACCTAGCTCCAGGACCCRAATCGAGCACCCAGACCCAGCACAYRGCCCCAGTACCTGGTACCCAGACCCACTACCCAGCACCCAAACACAGCACCCATCCCCAGCACCAAAACAGTCACCCAGCACTGAGGCTTTGCCCCAGTCTCAGGACCAAGACCTGGCCCCAAACCCAGCACCCAGACCCAGCAGCCAGCACCAAAACCCAGCCCCCAGACCTGACATTTAGACTCAGCATTCAGCACCCAGTCACAACACTCAGCATCCAGCACCCTGACCAGTACCCAGCACCCAGCCCCAGCTCCCAGCTCCCAGCCGTGGTCCCAGCAGAGCTCCCCACTGAGCCTGGCTACCACACAGAGCCCAGGGGCCTGGAGGCCGCACAGCTCGGCCATCCCTGGGGTTTGGGGACCGCCAGGTCCCATGGGTGCTTCACAGGGAGCAGGATTTTCCCCTCAGCAGTGGGGTCAAACTGGGGGGCCCATGTCCCATCTCAGCTCCCCRTCTTGCCCCAGTGTCCCTGGGGACRCTCAGTGCAGGAATGGAGCTGCCTGGACACCCTCCGTGAGGCTGGACTTGCATCCTGCCACTGCCCCAGCCTGCCTGTGGCTCCCGGCCACCCCTGGGGACCTCCTGGGGACTTGGAGGTGCAGGACGAGGGGAACGGGCAGTATGGAGAGGAGGCCACTGGTGCTGCTGCAGAGCATCCTTGCCGGCTCCCCACGTTGCTCCGGCGCCGCTTCCGCATTCCTGCGGGCCGGCTCGAGCGGCCGCGCGCGCTGGCATCCTGTTTGCGGCCGCGCACCCCCCCGGGCCCTGAGTCACCCCCGCGGCTTCTGCAGGTGGCGGAAGGCTAACAATAGCCCCACAAAGGGAGGATGTCTCCCCTCCACGCGCTCCCCAACACCTTCCTCCGCGGGCCCTTCGAGGAAACGCCGGGAAGGGCCCCGGCGGACGTGCGCCTTCCGATGAGTTTTGTCCTGTTTACGCCTGCTTGTTTGGCGCAGGAGGGAGTGCGTGGCATGCGGGGGGGTCCCTCGTGTCCCCAGGGGCTCCAGGCACCTGGTGGCTTTGGGGACAACAGCGAGAAGGGGGGTGGATTGCCCCACATTGCCAGCATTGCCCCGCAGGCTCTGGTGCAGAGCTCCCAGGCACGGAGGGAAGTGGGGGAGAGGGAGCATCGTTAACACATGTCACTAATTACCAGGAGGGAAGTGGAGCCCGGCCTGCGCGTTGCCATGGCGATTGCATTCCCTATCGAGGGAACTTTTGCCGCCAGCGCAGCGCGGTCGCAGGCGGCCCCGGGGTGCAGGGGCGCGCGGGTCCATCCCCGCCACCGGGCTCCGTCCCCATCCTTCCCCAGCGCCTCCCGCTTCGGCTGCAGCCGCGGAGCAGGAGGCTGCTCCCGCCTGCCGGTCGGGGTGACACGAGTGCGCCAGGGCTCAGCGCGCATGGGGAAGGGGGACCGCGAGGAGGTGGGAGCAGCAGCCCCCCTTGGTCCCCAGCCCCAGCGCTCCTCGGCAGAGCTGTCACCGCGGCGCGGGGACACCCCCTCGCTCGTGTCACCCCCAGGACGGCCCGCGGACCTGGTGGCGGGGCGGGGAAGGGCGCGCGGCTCCTCGGCGGGGCCCTGGTGCCACCTCGTGGTGAGCAGGGCCCCGGTGACACCGCGGGCCGGCAGAGCCGAGCGCCCGGAGCGGGGCCGGGGGCGGCCCCGGGGCTGAGACCCCCCCTTGGTGCCCCGCTCCAAACGGGAGCCGCCGAGCAGAATGAACAGATCAATAAACGGAGAGAAGAAGAAATAAACAAATAATATATAAAAATACATACATGAAAACAATCAAATAAACACGTAAATATTCCCATTTTCTCCCCCAGGGATGCCCAGGGACCATCCAGYCGTGTGTAGACAGGACAGGGAGCTCCCCGTGCAGCACGTGCTGCTGGTGGCCAGCGGCACGGAAGGGCAATTGATCTTCCCRCGCCAGCTCTGGCGCGCAGCGATGCCCGGGGATGGGGCAGCGAGGCCGCGCAGGGGCCTCGCCGCGGGCCGGCCGCTCTCGTCGGAGCCGCACGCACCGGAGCAGCTGCCGCGGTGGCAGCGGCGCCGCGGGGCCCGGGCCCCGGCAGACGGCGGCGCCGCGGGGAGAGCCGCGCGCCCGCCAGCCCGTGACTCAGCCGGCTCCGAGAAACTCTCTTCCACCGCGCGGGAGCCAGGAGCCGTGCGGCCCATGCTCCGCTCCCAGGCTGCAAGATGCCATGGGAAGGACGCTGGAGACCTCTGGCCATGCACGGTCCATGTGGGGTGGGCAATGACCCCCAAGAGGCCCTGCCCCATGCTGTGGCCCCATACAGACCCATCCTCAGCCTGAGCAATGGGACACGGCCCCATGTCCCGGGCAGTACGTTGTCCCCTGGGTGGTGGCAGYGTGCCAGGCTGCACTGGCACAGCCCCGCTTGCAAGGGATCTTTGGACTCTGTGCTGACTTTGCTGGTACTTTTTATCTCGTGGCAAGATCTGCTTTCAAGGAGAAGCGCTCAGTGAAGAGCACAACAACCCCCCACTCCTCTTGTCTGCTATGGGTCGCGGCTCTCCCATGCAGCACCACTCTGGCCCCAAGGGCAAAGGCGGAGGAGGAGGGACCTGTCACCACAGGCCCTGCTGACAGACTCCCTCTGCTCGTCGTCCCGGTCGGACGGCCGGGCAGCTCGGAGCGCCCGGGGAGCCATGCGCAGCCCTCCGTGGATCGTAGCCTGGGTGCTCCTGCTCCGAGGTGAGTGAGACACGTTCTCCRCAGCCCCCCGGCGCGCTCGCCAGGGAGATGCGGAGCCGAGGGGCTGGGGACCAGCTTGTCTGGGCTCTGCCGTTGTGAGGGTGGCCCAGGTCCCGCCGAAGTCGGTGTCGGTTAATCCCAGCGAGCGCAGCAAGGGTGGCTTTTCGCTTAGCTCTCTGCGGGGCTCTGTCCCCACCCCTGCCGCCCTAGGGCTGCCGTGCAGCGCCGCGTCTCCCCGGAGCGACATCCGGGACTGCTCCGCCAACCCGCCGGTGAGCAGAGCCCCGCCGTGCCGGGACCCTCCACCCCGGCCGCTGTGCGGGGTCGGACCCCGCCAGGGCTCTTGTAGAGACAGGGGCAGCGGGCGGCCGGCCCCCCTGCAGCCCGTGTCCCCTGTGCCACCAGTACCTGCCCCCCACGGCCACGGAGACGACGGCGCGGCTGGCGGCTCTGCGGGGCGCCATGCGGGCGCGCGGCGTCGACGCCTACGTGGTGCCGGCCACAGACGCGCACATGGTGAGGCAGCAGCCCGCGGCGCCGCTGCGCCGGGCCCTGCGGCGCCRCTCACGCCGCTGTCCTCGTCCCCAGAGCGAGTACATCTCGGAGCGGGACGCCCGCCTGGGCTGGCTGAGCGGCTTCACCGGCTCGGCAGGTGAGAGCGGCCTGGGCCGCCAGCRGCTCCCCATTGAGGTGGCCCCGTCTCCGTCCTTGGGGTTCCTCCCACCACATGAGTGGTCCTGCATGGTGCAGGAGGTGGAGCTGGGGAGYGGGGCTGTCCCTGCTCGCCCACAGGGTGACGGTTGGGGAAAAGCAATGGCCGGGCGCCCTGTCCCCTCCAGGCACGGCTGTGGTGACCCTGCACAAGGCTGCCTTGTGGACCGACAGCCGCTACTGGACCCAGGCGGAGCGGCAGATGGACTGCAACTGGGAGCTGCAGAGGACGAGTCAGTGCAGGGCACTGGGGAAGCTGGCAGGGGCTCATCACCCCCGGCCACCCCGTCCCGCAGCCACTGCTTCACCTGGGCCCCACCATGGGCCTGGAGGGTCAGGGCCTCCTCCTGGGTCCCCACGGTGCCACCCGGCTCTCTCATGCAGTCTGGATTAAGTCCATTGGGCTGTGGATCCTTGAGGCAGTTCCTGAGGGCGGGAATGTCAGCATGGACCCCTTCCTCTTCTCCATCAGTAAGGTCACCCACGGCACGGCACCTTCCCTGCCCTCGGCCTGCAGCCCGCTCCCACCAGGCTGCAGCGAGCCCGGGGGGCAGCAAGGCGGCCCTTGCTGCGTGCCCCTAAGCGCTGGCTGCTCCCCACCCCAGACACCTGGAGCAGCTACAGCGAGGCTCTCCACGGCTCCGGCAGGACCCTGCTTCCCATGGAGACCAACCTCGTGGACCAGGTGTGGACCGACCAGAGACCCCCTCCAGCCTCCAGCAAGATCTACAGCCTCCCAGCAGAGTTCATAGGTGCAGCCACCGCCTTCCCTGGGGGGGACCGGGCACACGTTTGCTGTCACTTGGCACCCCCAGCCCAAGGGGACCTCGGTGGACCCCAGGGCTGAGCCAACCTCTCAGGCTCCTTGCAGGGAGCAGCTGGCAGGAGAAGGTGACGGGCATCCGGCAGCAGATGGAGCAGCACGTCCAGAGCCCCACAGCTGTGCTGCTCTCGGGGCTGGAGGAGACGGCCTGTGAGCAGCCACCTCCCCTGCGTGTCCCCAGCCGCCCCACTGCCYGGGGACCCTGACCTGCAGCTGGACGGCACCGGGGTGGTCCTGGGGCAGCCGGTGAGCACAGGGTCTCACCTGTGGTGCTTGACAGGGCTCTTCAACCTCCGTGGAGATGACATCCCCTACAACCCTGTCTTCTACTCCTACACGCTGCTGACCAACACCAGCATAAGGTGGGCAGCATCTCCGCATGGGGTGGTTGCTGCTTGGCTCTTGCCTCTCTTCCCCTCTGGGAACAGCACCTGAGATGCAGCCAGGATGCAGCTACCCTGTGCCCAAGTACCCACCGTGTCCTACGGCGCCCAGCCCCACCGCGTCCCCCTGCATGTCCCACATCCTACCCAGGTCCATCCTCTCACCTCAGCCAGTTGCCAGCCTTGTATCCCCTCCATAGCCCCTCACCAGTGCCCAGCACCCTYCTTTCCACCAGTGCCCCATGCTCTGACGGGGCTTGGGGGCCAAGCGAGCCCTGGTTGTGCCTGTCCAGCCGCACACCCCATTCCCAGGCTGTTTGTGGACGGGACGCGCCTGACGGCGGAGGCTCRGCAGTCCCTGCAGGGAGCCTGCCCAGGGCCGCTCTGTGTGGAGCTGCAGGAGTACGGGCAGGTGCGCGACCACGTCCGCGACTACGCCCAGGGCAACGTCACCATCTGGCTCGGCACCGAGTACACCACCTACGGCCTCTACGGAGTCATCCCCGAGGTGAGCAGAGCAGAGCGCCCTGCCCGAGCCGGCTCCGGGCCACGGAGCCTGGCTGCTGCGGACACGGGTGGTGCCGGGCCCAGGGCCAGCACAGCCCATGGAGCTGTGGGCACATGGGACGCGCTGCAGCATCCTCAGGTTGGGCAGGGCGGCCGGCCGTGCCCGGTTGTGCCATGCCCAGGCTGCCTTTGCAGGAGAAGCTCCTGGAGGAGAGCTACTCGCCGGTGATGACCGCCAAGGCTGTGAAGAACGCCAAGGAGCAGGAGTTACTGCGCGCCGCTCATGTAAGGGCTTTGGCCAGTCCTCCCAGTCAGGAGCAGAGCGGGGGCACYGTGGGGCCCGCGGGGATGCCAGCCRGCTCCCTCTGAGGCTGCACCTGCCCCAGGTGCGGGACGCTGTGGCGGTCATCCAGTACCTGCTGTGGCTGGAGAAGACGGTCCCRCAGGGGCTGGTGGATGAGTTCTCGGGGGCACGGCACGTGGACGCGCTCCGGCAGTGAGTGCCCGCGGCTCCCCGCCGGCTGTGCCCTGCCGTGCGGCCACCTGTGCCCACACGCCCCTTGCCCTGCAGGGCCCAGGAGCACAGCCGCGGGCCCAGCTTCGAGTCCATCTCGGCCAGCGGCCTCAACGCCGCGCTCGCCCACTACAGGTAGGGCAGGGCCGGGGCGGCGGGAGCGCGACGGCGGCAGCGGGCTGGCGAGGGGCCCTGAGGCCTCCCCGCGCGTCACCCTCCGCCCCGGCCAGCCCGTCCAACGGGAGCAGCCGCAAGCTGTCTGTGGACGAGATGTACCTGTGCGACACCGGCGGGCAATACCTGTGCGTAGCGCTTCCCCCGCGGGCTCCGGCACGGCCGCCCGTCTCCCTGCGCCCCCGGCAGCGCGRCCGGTGGGCGACAGACATCAGTCTGTGCCCGGCGCGGCGGGCGGCGCTGCTGCCGGCGCCAACGCTGGGGCCGCGCCGCCCCCCTTGGCTCCCCTCTCCTCAGGGACGGCACCACGGACATCACGCGCACYGTGCACTGGGGAGTGCCGACCCCCTTCCAGAAGGTACGAGCACTCCCGGGCTGCCCTCCATGCCCAGGACGTGCCCTCGGTCCCGCAGAACCTCACAGCAGGGGCTAGCGATGGGCACGGCAGCAGGGGGACGCTGTGCTCAGCCCCATGACGCTCGCAGGAAGCCTACACGCGCGTGCTCATGGGCAACATCGACCTGTCCCGCCTCGTCTTCCCCACCAGCACGGCAGGTGGGTGCCGGGCCTGCGTGGGCGGCCTGCGGCGGCTCAGGCCTGCGACAACGCTGAGCAGAGCAGCACYGCCGGGTGCCCTCAGCAGCTCCCTCCGGCCCCATCCCGCAGGGAGGACGGTGGAGGCCTTCGCCCGCCAGGCGCTCTGGAAAGTCGGACTCAACTAYGGCCACGGGACCGGCCATGGCATTGGAAACTTCCTATCGGTCCATGAGTGTGGGTGCTGCTGGCCGCTGCAGCTGGGGCCGGGCTGTGCAGCGCTAGGGAGGGATGGAGAGGGAGGGGGGTCACGCAGAGCCCCTCGGAGCTCAGCTAAGTCTCTCGCTGTTCGTGAGCGTCCTCCAGGCTGCAGGGTTCAGCCTGAGCACCCTCCAGGCTGCAGGGTTTGGCATGAACATCCTCCAGGCTGCAGGGTTCAGCCTGAGCACCCTCCAGGCTGCAGGGTTTGGCATGAACATCCTCCAGGCTGCAGGGTTTGGCATGAACATCCTCCAGGCTGCAGGGTTCTGCGTGACGCGGTTCTCTGGCCTGCAGCGGCCGGGCCTAGGCAAGACCCTGCCCTGTGGGAACTGCCTTTCCCAGGAGCTGTAACCCACCATGCTTCCTCCACAGGGCCCGTGGGCTTCCAGTCCAACAACATACCACTRACGAAGGGCATGTTCACATCCATCGGTACGTACAGCTGCACAGGTCCTGCCCGCACCTCTGCTCTTGGGGACAGCCCTAGGGCCATGGGAGCAGGCGAAGGGACAGGGGACCTTGGCTTGCTCCTCTCTTCTGGGGCCACTCTGAGCCACGGGACCAGTTGGGCATCTTTCCTGTTCCCACAGAGCCTGGATACTACCAGGATGGTGAGTTTGGAATCCGCATTGAAGACATTGCCCTCGTGGTGGAGGCGCAGACCGAGGTAACGTGTCCCTCCTTGCACCAAATGCCCCAGTGGGCCAGCACTGAGACGAGGGCTGTTGGCTGCTGCACCACGGAGGCCTCAGCTGGGGCTCTGCTCCCCTGTCCTGGTGCCAGCTGAGGGATGAGGGGCCTTTCTGGGGCTCAGAGCCTCCCTCCCGCAGCACCAGACTGAGCAGGAGCCGTTCCTGACCTTCGAGGTGGTGTCCCTGGTACCCTATGATCGCAACCTCATTGATGTCAACCTCCTGTCAAAGGAGCAGGTACTGAGCGCTCAGGGCAAGGGGTGGGCACGTGAGGCCGGGCTGGAATGTGAAAATGGGGCTGGCGGATGGAGCCAGAAGGGGCAAAAGAATGGGGTTGGGGCAGGTGAACGTGGTGGGTGAACAGGACCATGGTGGGCAAACAGCCAGGCAGGTGAAGGGGGCACAGGAAGGATGGATGCAGCGGGGCCCTCGGGTGGGSCTGGGACAGGGCTGGGATGGCCATCAAGCGATGTGGTGGGCACGYGGAGAAGGACGAGCACCCCCGCTGCAGATCCAGCACCTCAACACCTACTACAAGACCATCCGGGAGCGCGTGGGGCCGGAGCTGCGGCGGCAGCGGCTGGAGGAGGAGTACGCCTGGCTGCAGAGGAACACGGAGCCCTTCCTGCAAAGCGGCGCCGCCGCCGCCAGCGCCAGCCTGGCCACGCTGGCCACCACCTCCCTCCTGCTCAGCGAGCTGCGGGCCTGAGCCCAGCCCCGCCACGCGTCTCCTCCTTGCCAGGGCAGCTTCTTCTCCCCGTCACCTACTTCCTTTTTTCTGTCCTTGTGTGCAATTAAAGATGAGTAATGCCAGTGGGTGGGAGTGTGTCAGCGTGATGCCCTGCCCGGTGGCGTGTGGGGCTGGTGGGTGCATGGGCCCAGACTCGTGGGGCCACCCAGGCCACACGACCTGCCCTGAGCAGAGCACATTGAGGTGGGGGAACCTGAGTGAATGGTGCAGCGGAGCCAGTAGGACCAGGGCAGCCCCCTGGTTGCACTATGGGCGCTGGTGGGCTGTGTGCTGGGGTGCACAYCCCCTCCCAAAACTTGCACTCCAGGCATGGCACAGGGAAGACCTGGGGACACGCAGGGGACATCATAACAGAGCGCCTGGRCACCACATGCTGCCGAGGAGGACAAGCCCAGTGGGCACAAGATGGGACATGATGGACATGGGATCCTCGGCCTTTCATTGGGGAAGATGGTCCCTGCTGCCACCTGGCTGAGGGACTGTCCTTGCAGCCGGGCCCGTCCATGCTGGGATGCACGGCGGGCACCAGGTGTCCCGAGGGGCCCTGGGCACGGAGGCAGCTTCGAGGAGGGTTTCCTTCCTTCTGCTCCAGGCTCCTCCGCAGGGCCGAGCTGCTACAAGCAGCTCTCAYGTGACCGCCGGCTTCCTGTGCGCTTCCTGGCGCCGGTGCCGGTGCTACGAGCTCCGCAGCCGCTGCGCCCCGCGCTCGCGCCATGCTGCGCCGCAAGCCCTCCAACGCCAGCGACAAGGAGCCGGGACACAGGAAGGTGAGCGCCCGCGGGCACCCGGCACCGTGGCGCCCACCAGGCCCGGCTGCCCGTCCCGCGCTCAGCGGGAGGACCTGGCTGGTGCCACTGGGCAGCTTGGATAGCACCCATAGCTCTGGTGCAGGACGAGCTCTGCACATCGTGGCCGGCACGGTGAGCCCGAGCCATTGCTGCATCCTGCTGGCGGTACCCAGCCCTGGCAGCGCTGCTGCAGCCACCGCAGGGGACGGAGCATCCAACAGCGGCCAAGCAGCAGGGCACACGGGGTGCACAGGGTCCGCATCCCCCTCCCCACGGCACAGCGGGACGCGGGCGGCTGCGGAGGGAGCGCGCTGCTCGGGGCTGCAGCAGCGCGCGGGGGCTGCCGGCCTCGCAGCGCTTGCAGCAAGGTGCTTGCGGTCGAGGCAGCAGCTCCGTCACGTGCGCCAGCCGCTTCCCGGGGCAGCGCCGCTCCGAGCGCCGGGGCYGTCGCTGGGTCCCCCAGGGCAGCGGGGGCTGCGCGAGCGCTGGGGCAGCCAGCAGCCCTGCAGGCAGCAGCGCCGGTCCGCAGCTCCTCAGCGGAGGAGTTCCCCGGGCACACGGGGAAATCTGGAGAGAAGATCCCCACGGTTGTGACRGCCCMGAGAGGGRCAGCGCAGGGTGGCAGCGCCCGGCYGGGCATCCCCTCCCTTGCTTGGCTGCACCCGCTGCTCTCACTTCCCTCTCAGAGGCAGCAGCGCCCGYGTGGATGTCGTGTCCCTTTGCTCAGGCCCCGGAGGAGCTGGCACGAGTGCCTGCAAATTTGCCCTCGGGCCAGGCGGGAAACCAGCCCCAACCTCAGGAACAGGCGCCGCTGATGGTCCCAGCAAAGCCTGAAGACGTTTTGTCTCAAGGGGCTCAATGGACCTGGGGAGRGGTCAGAGCACTCAGGCTGTGTGGGCTGGAGGGGCCCCAACGTCTCTGCTAACCGAGCGCAGGAAGACCCAAGATGTTCCTGCTGGGTTAAGTCAAGGCAGGGATAAAGGMAGGTTTGAAGCCAGGTTTCTTGCAGCCAAGCCCGTGCTCTCCAAAGAAACAACAAAAAGTAGTAGTAAAAGATGCTCAGCTGAGCTGACAAAAAGGAGAACAAGCACAGGAAGCGGTGGGGCTGGGGCCACGGCCAAGGCCCCATCRCCTCCCCCTCAAGCAGGCGCCCGGGAGGAGGGGCAGAGCCACCCGAGAGGAAATTGCTGCGTTTGCGGTAAAAGCCGAGGCGAGCGACACCAACCAAAGCCAGGGTGCCAAGCAGCGCGGCGAGGCTCTGGGAAGCACCCCGTGCAGCGAGCAGCCGAGGGTGATGACAAGGCAAGGCCAGGCCCGCGTGCACCGGGCAGGCTCTGCAGCCCACGCGGCTGCGTGCCGGGAACCCTTCCTTCAGGCAAGCCGCCATGGGGGATGCAGCCTGCGGGCAGAAAACGTGGGCAAGGTCCCGAGCCAGCGGGGCCGGGCAGGGTGCTGAGCGGAGCAGCAGTGCCCTGGGGTTCTGCTGGCGCTGCCCAGCGCGCGTGGGCGACAGCAGCRCCTCGGCACAGCGCTCACAAAGGCACCAAAACCAGACATGATTTGGGAATTGTAAGATGCTCCTTTCACCTGGTGGTGCCCTGTGGAGAGCAGCAGCTCCCAGCCTTAAGCCTGGCAGATGCTTTGGTCGATGCTGAGGGACCTGCCATTCCAGAGCTTGCTCTCTGCATGCCCCTGGCACATGCCCAGGCCCCAAGGCTCCCAACACATTGTGGCTCTTGGACGTCACAGTGTGATGCAGAGACSAGGGAGGATGCACCAGCCACAACTTCTTTGGTTGCTGCTATCACGGCCAGGGCTTGTTGAGGTGCCCAGCAGCAGCATGAACCCAGCATGGCCCTTCGGGGCAGCCCTCACTCCTTTTTGCCTCCCCCAGCTCTCCCTCCAGCGCTCCAGCAGCTTCAAGGACTTTGCCAAGGCCAAGGTYAGCTCCCCCGGGGTGACCGAGAAGGAATTCAACCTGGATGAGAACGTGAGTGCTCAGCCCTATGTATGGTGACCCCCCTTCCTGGGACCTATGGCCTCCCACTCGCATGGGGATCCCGCCTATGAGAACTCCCTTCCAATGCCTACCCTGCACCCACAGCCCCCCGCAGTTCACTCRAGTGACTGGGTCCCCTGCGGCTGTCCTGGGATCCCAGTAAGCCCAGATGGCCGCAGGTAACAGGGCATCCAGCTCTGCTCTCCATGTCCCTCCCAGATCCCCGAGGATGAGGCCAGCAGCGCCGCCCCCGAGGAGCCTTCCCGGAGCAGCGGGATGAAGCTGAGCAAGAAGTGGAGAGCCGTCATCTCCCGCACCATGAACAGGAAGATGGGCAGGATGGCCGTGAAAGCGCTGGCCGAGGGCAAGGTGAGCCCGGCCTGGCGGGGAGGCAGCGGCGGCTCCCACCCCCTGCCCAGCACTAACCCCCTTCCCCAGCAGGGAGACGTGGAGGAGGACGGGTCCCCGTCCCCGCTGTCCCCGACCAGCAGCATAGAAGAGCCAAGCCAGGACAAGGTGCCCCTCTGCTACCTGGAGGGGGAGGAAGAGGGGCAGCCGTCCCTGAGCCGCCAGCTGTCCAGCGGTGAGTGCGGCCGCGCGCAGGGTGCCCTCTGCGCCAGGCCAGGCCTAAGGGCCCCCCCGAGCCGGGCCAGCCCTAACGGCCCCGTCTCCCCGGCAGGCAGCGAGGCCGCCAGCCCCGCGGGCGCCCACCGYGACAGCCTGCAGCTGGAGGAGCGCGGCCCGGCCTACACCGGCCCCTTCTGCGGCCGGGCCCGCGTCCACACCGACTTCACGCCCAGCCCCTACGACAAGGACTCGCTGAAGCTGCGGGTGAGCAACCCCACCGGCAGCCCAGGGATGGGGCGAACGCCCCACGCCAGCCAGGGGGGTGGGAGGGTGGCTGAGGACACCTCCAAGGGGGCCCTRCCCGCTGGTGGCTCTCCCAGCCCTCAGCCCTCTGCTTGACACAGAAAGGGGACATCATTGGCATCATTGAGAAGCCGCCCRTGGGCACCTGGACCGGGCTGCTCAACAACAAGGTGGGCTCCTTCAAGTTCATCTACGTGGATGTCATCCCAGAGGAGACAGCCCCTGCCCGCAAAAGCAGGAGACACAGCAAGAGCAAGAGGCTCAAGCCCAAGACCCTCCACGAGCTGCTGGAGCGCATCAACCTGCAGGTAAGACCCAGTGCAGGCCCACAGTGCGACACGGACACRTGGGCACAAGCCTGGCTGGCAGGGGCTTCCCAGCAGACAGGGAACTATCTGCTTTCCAGCACCTCTTCACCCATCCCGTTACGCCCTGTCCTTTTGGGCCTCTCCACCTAATGCCCACGTGCTGCTGCACAGGGACACGAAGGGCTCCTGCAGCCAACACTCGCTGCAGAGGGAGCCGAGGGGTGGGACCCGGGGTTGGTGCTCGGCACCAGCAGCCACATCCCCGCCACCAAGCACGCTGCTCTCGGCGCCCAGGAGCACACCTCCACCTTGCTCCTGAACGGCTACCAGACCCTGGAGGACTTCAAGGAGCTGCGCGAGACCCACCTCAACGAGCTGAACATCACAGATCCCCAGCACCGCGCCAAGCTGCTCACAGCCGCCGAGCTTCTCCTGGATTATGACAGTAAGGGACAGGCCAGGGCAGCCGGCCGAGACCCCCCACGTCAGGCCGTGCCCCCCGGGCCCAGCTGCCCCACAGCCCCGGCTCTCCGTGAGCGGGGGGCTGCTGCCCGCTAACGTTGGCTCTTCTCTCCCAGCAGCAAGCGAGACGGAGGAAGGAGACAGCTCCGAAGCCCAGCCATCCCCCATGGACCCCAAAGGGGACATTCCCCGGGACTCGGGCTGCTTTGAAGGGTCGGAAACGCTGGATAGCAGCCGGGACGACGCRGAGCTCTCAGGCCCCGAGGGGCAGCTGCAGGCTCTCCCCCTGAGCGAGTCCCCCTGAGCCCTCCCGACTCCGCGCTCCCCGGCAGCAGGACTGCAGCGGAGACGCTCGCRGGAGCCCTGCGGGAGGAGGGCGCGCGGGTCCCACCACGGCTCCCCCAGCGCTCCAAGGACAGCGTGGAGCCAGTAGGGAGGCCCAGGCTTGCGAGCCGGGCCCGTGCTGCCCCTCGGGCCTCAGCTCACTTCAGCCACCGTTCACGAGCTCTCCCAGGCCGAGCCAGCCCAGACGTGCAGCACCCAGCAAAGCCAGGGATGGCCACAGCGGCCGCCGAGCCGCAGCACCCAGCGCCAAGCGAAAAGCACAGGAGCAGAGGCACCGCCGTGCCCCCGAGCCAGGCGCTTGCTGTGCGCCTCCAGCATCTCCTCCACCTTCACCAAGCCAAGCAGGGAGGGCAGGGAAAGCTTTGCTGGAAAGCCTGGGTCAAGTTTGGTTCAGTTGAGCCCCAAGAACAGCCTGGCAAGGGCCCAGTGGGTCCAGAGCACCCCAGCACCCAGCAAAACACCCCAACCCTAAAGGTTCGCAGCATGTCACAGTCCCCACTACCCAAGAGCATCTCCAGAGCCAMCACAAAGGTAAGAGGGGGATGCCAAGCCAGCACCAACCCCTTCACTCCTCCCATGCTTGTCTCTCCGGCGATGTTTTGGTTCCCAAGAAGTAGGGTAAGGTGGCCATGCCTATAGCTTCTGCATTGGGCTGGCCAACGTGGCCAGCACACGCTGCAGCATCGTAGCCCAAGCCAGCAGGGCAGCCTTGTYCTGAGGGCCGGATGCCCACGTGGTGGCTGCGGCACCAGGACCCAGCAGAGCAACGTGCGCGAGGCAGCGGCCAAAGCACAGGCCAGGTCAGAGGTTCCCCCATTCCATATCCAAGCTAATGCCCATCTCGAGGCACCCACAGCTCTGCCCGGGAGCTGCTTGGCCAAGGCCAGGGCCCCATGGCCAGGCTCGCGCCGCTGCGCTCGAACAGCCTCGGCCCCTGCTCCGCAGCATCCGCAGGCGGGCGCTCAGGTTGCTCGTCTGCGCTCGGCTCCAATAAAGCGTGCTCCGAATTGCTGCCTCCGCTCGTCTCTTACCTGCGCCAAAGGAGCCAGGCCGCCCCGCGCCGCTTCCCACCCCGGGAAGGCACCGCTGTTTGCGGCGAGGCTGTCGTGTCCCGCGGCTGCCGCTGCTCGGGGAGGGCTGCAGAGCCTCCTCCTCAACCGCCCCGCTGCATTTCAGCGCCTGCGAGGCTCCAGCGGGGCTCGGGCGACAACCACACCATGAAAGCCAAGACACAGGGGCTCTAGAGCCGCCGGGGAAAGGCGGCAGCCTCTTTTTTTTTGTGGGGGGGGAACGGGAGGGAAACACGCACAGATAGACAGAGGCAGAGGCTGCAGCTCAGCCGGTTTTCAAACCAATTAAGTTTCCTTCATTGTTTCCAAAAAAAAAAAAAAAAAAAAAAAAAAAAAAAAAAAAAACCCCAAAAAAAAAAAAAAAAAAAAAAAAAAAAAAAAGAAAAAAGCCCTAAAACAAAATAACAACAAAATATATCACCCCCCCACCCCCTCCAAACTTCCTTCACAGAGAACCTGAACAGAGCAGACAGAAACCACAGGAGCAGGCAGCACCCGCCACTGCCCCAGCAGGCAGCACTCGACACATTGCGTTAGAAAACAGAGTAGTAAAACCAAAAAGGAAAAAAAATACACTTTTTTTTTTCGCAACAAGTTTGAGATTTGGTCAGTAGTGTGGTGGGACAAATGYGAGAGCCCAGCACAGAAGGGCAGACACTGGGGCAGGGTGCAGCACTCCAGGGCAAGCAGCAAGAGCTGGTGCCAGCCCTGGGCCACCAGCTTGGCTTGTACCTTGCCAGGAGGGCCAGGACGGGTCTGAGCCCCGGCCTGAAGGGCAGCAACTGCTGCAGTGTGGAGCCGTTCGGGCCCTGCTTGAGGTGGGAGAGCAGCAGGGCCTGGCCAGGTAAAAGCCAAGAGGGGAGCAGCTGAGGCCAGGAGCAGGGCCAGGCTGGGTGGGAAGCGGCGGCCAACCTCGCTCGCCCGAGAGGCGAGTCCTCAGCGCCTCTGGAGGCACGGGCAGAGGACAGCACCAATCCCCACGTCACCTCACCCGCTGCCTGGCAAGGCGCAGGCCAACACTGCAAGGAGCTGGGGATGAGGAGCGAGGGACGCAGGGCTCCAATGGGAGCCTCCTCTTTCGAGACAGCGAACRGAGGAGAAAACGAATGAAAGCACCACCATTGCTCAGGCCCAGCACCTCCCTTCTCTTCCGAGGAGCTGCAGGTGGCTGATATTGAACATCTGCAGTCCCCTAAGACAAATATATAGTCCCAAAAGAGCTGGCAAAAGCTAGAGAGGATTCAGGTATGAACTCTGCCCCACTGAGARAGCCAGCGGCATGGGCAGACCCCCAGTCCTGCTCAATACAGCTCTTGCACAACCCTCCTGGGACAGGCCAGAGTCAAGCAGCAGGAAGCTGGGCTGCTCCCCACCTTGCCCCGAGACCCCCCGCTACTCACAAACCCCAGAGAAAAGATGGGAGGGCTCACGCCATGACCGCTCTCGCACCCGCTAAAGTCACATTAAAAGAGGGAGTATGAGAAGGAAGCTACTTTAAAAAAAGYGTTGTCAGCAGAACACCTTCCCGGTCAGTTTGGCCCCTTTTGGCACCAAAAAGGTCTCCTGACAACCCCTGCCACGTTAACCAATAAAACAATGCCACAAATCAGAGGAAGGAGGGAGGAGGGGAGAGAGGACATTACTATCATAATCGCTTGCCCCTTCCCATCAGGATTCCTCAGCAGCAGGGAGCAGGCCAACCTCGCTGTCGCTTCCGAGCTGCTCAGCCACAAGTCATCTGATCAGAGAGCTGGGGCCACACGGAGGGACAGAGCAGGCCACCGAGCTGGTTTTTTAGCACTGAGGACAACCTGCAGAGCAAGAGGTCCTGCCTCGACCTGCAGGGAGACCAGCTTCAGTGGTGGTGAGCGCCCCAAAATGATCAACACGGGCTACTCACACACTTTATCCTTTGACACCACGGAGGGCCAGTGCCAGCCYGCACTGCCTGCACATTGAGGTGAACAACGACTAAAGCAAAATGGCCATGAGGAATCGCTTGCCTGCCATCCAGCCCATCTCCTCCTCTCCTCAATCACTTCCAGCTTTGATTAGACAAAACGAGAAAGTTCTCCCTTTCAAACAGAGGCTAGTGCTCTGCTTGCCCAGTGTCCTGGGAGGGGATTGGGAGCTCTCCAGCCGGCAGCTGCTTCTCCTCTGGCATCTCAGTATTGCTCAGGGATGGCACAGGGACCTGGAAAGAAGAGAGTAGAGACTCACATGAGCTCACCTCAACACAGAGCATCTGCTTGTCCACGCAGACACACGGCCCAGGTGCCCTGCAGCCACCTGCAATCTCCCCATCCCTCCCAACTCCTTTGCTCTTGACCTCCGAGCGCACCAGTTCATTCCCTTTGAGGTTGACCAAGAGGTTCCTATCCCTCAAACACCTCCCCAGCCAGCTCCAGACGGATGCTGGTTTCTGGGGCCAGACCACAAGAAGCCTCTTTGCCAAGAGCATCTCAGCAAGGCCCCAAGGGTCACTTTGCTCCTGTTATGTCATATTTTCAGCCTTCCCTCTGAGCAGGCCTGTGCCCACCCACCCCTTAGGTAGGGGGAATCACTCACAGCACTCGGATGAGGAAGGCTGCTGTCGCTCTGCTGAGCACTGCTCTCTTCTGGCTGCCCACAGGGGCCCTGAGCAGCGGTGGTCTCCTGAGCCCCAGGCCCCCGCGCACACGTCTCCTCCTGGGCCGCGCTCTCCTCTTGCTGCAGGATGCCCCGTCTGTCTAAGACGCTGCAAGAAGAACACGACCCAGTTAGGGCAGTGCCTCACCCGGAGCCAGATTTTCCTCCTAGCAGGACAAGTGCTGGCAGAAGACAAGTGTTAAGGAAAGCRGTTCTCCCAGCCAGCGCAGGCTGTGCACTGCCTCATCCTGGTCTGTAGCATCTAGGTTTCTGCTATGAAAACCAAGCACCCCTGGGAGCTGCCCAGTTCAGAGGTCAGKTGTCCCACCAAAATGAGCCACCTAGGAACATTCTCTTGTCCCTACTCAACACCAAGGAAGGGACATTTCTGCTCTAACTGCTCCCCAAAAACATGAGGGTAGGGAGCATGTTGCAAGCTTGAGTCACTGGAGACAGGCAAGGAAGGCAACACAAGATCTTCATCCCCAGAGGAGCTGGCTGTGTCCAAACTAGACTYCAGAATCCCTCAAAACACAGAATTGGCAAAAGGCAGCCAAGTGTTTTGCCTGAACAAGGAGAGCTCCTCTGAGTCCTGCTCTGGCAGAAGAGCAGTCCTGCCCTTTCAGAGCTTACCTGGGGGGCAGAGGCCCACACAGGACCTCGCAGCAGTTCTTCACTATGTTGCCATGGCTGTAGGGATTYTGCACACGGTTCTTCCCAGTCCATGACCCCTTAATCTGCAATGTACAGGGCACAAGCTCAGAGCTGCAGAACAAGCCACCCCTATCACCGGGCAAGCTCAAGAGCCCTTGTGCCTCACTCACATGCAAGCAAAGAAGGGCGTAAAAAGGGTTGTTTGTCTCAGCAAAAAAATAAAAACTGCCCTGAAGAGGCASAGACAACTATGCTGCTTCTCTAAGCCACTGCTCCACTGGCCCCTGCCCACAGCACAAGCAGAACATGTCATCAGGTCAGATGTGACTGTGACACATGGGGGAACTGAAGGGAAATGGAGACAGCTCAGGGGAACAGAAAGGCTACTTACATCTTCATTGGTTGTCTGGTTCAGCGCCACCAGGAAGGTGTGGAATCCAGTTAACCCCACCACTGACCACAGGGTGAAGAAGCAGATGAGCACCTCCAGGACAGTGAGAACACAGTTAAGGACTGGGAAGAGCCTGGGATTACACCCACTGCCACCCCAGTTGTGTCCCCACAACACAGGACGCTAGCCTGCTTATCATAGTCACGGCTTTCTGCTTCACCCTCCCCTTAGTAGCCACAAAACTGTTCCTTGCTTTGTAAATAAAGGAGAAAATGCCCTGAAAGACTCCTCAGCAAAGCCTGGGCATATTGTCTCCAGCTCACACTTTCACAGGGTTTGGGCTGCGGAAGGATATGTCCCTGGGGTTTCTTTCAACGTGTTCAGGAACCCAATCTTCAGAGATTCTGATCAAAAGAAAAGAAAGAGGTGTTTGGTCCCTGGGATATCATGCTGAGCCCAGCTTCCCTCCCACCCCATCACCTTCTGGATCTGCAATATACTCCCTCACCCTTAACCAGCCCAGCCAACCAGCTCTCTGCAGCCAAACTCACTCAGTGCCACATAGACTATGTTGAAGGTGAAGATGTAGATGGTGAGGAGTGAGAGCGAGAGGATGAAGAGGTAGAAATAGCGGTAGTTCCTCTTCCCCACGCAGTTGCCCACCCAGGGACAGTGATGGTCGAAGCGCTCTGTGAAAGCAAAAATGAGATCAGTGATGCTCTAGTGTGGTCCTGCCTACACCACTTACTCCTGCATCCCAGACTTGAGAATTTACAGGGCTGAGGAAGACTCTCTGGGCCATCAAGTCCACTCATTCATAAGGAAAAGGGGAGGCCAGGTGGGAGGCCACAAAACTGTTTTACTGATGAGTGAGTTTATACATTATGATAAAATTTAAGAGATCAGCCACATGCATGTGTGCTCTCACAGAGACTGGGCCCTTACATAATGACTTYAGCTAAAGCAGCATACAGGTTAGATGAAGGCTAAGGTTTCTGAAATTCTTATCTAACCCACATGCTGCTTTACTACTCTAGAATAATAACAGAAGGGCTCAACAAGCTGCATAAACACTTGCAGGGATGGTAACCTGCATAGGAAGATAGGGATCAACAAGAGCAGGATTTCTGATCAGATCAGATCAGCAATTCAGTGAAGTTCAGAAACAGACTGTGCATTTGTATAAATAAGTTAAGCTTGTATTAGGCTAATTATTGTCAAAGCAGCACCAGCAAAGGTGAACCCTGTGGCCTGAGCTGCTATGCAAGTCTCCAGCTCCTTGGGCCTAAGATGAAGCAGGTTGTCCTCATCTATCCAGCCATCACTGTCCCACGCTTCCCTCCACAGCTGCTGGAAGTGGGCACAGTGTGAGACCAGATATGGGGCGAGACCCGGTCCAGATCTCCACCCATCCTGTCGCAGAGGCTCTCACGTAACGCACGGACGAGGAAGCAGGCTCGGCCTCTTCTACTCACCCACACAATTGTCACAGATGCTGCAGTGAGAGGCACGGGGCGGACGGAAGATCTTGCACGTGTAGCAATACTTCAGCTTCACTATCTGGTTGTTGATTTGGAAGTTTTTGATCCGGGGAGGCGGGCGCTGACCCTGGGGCACAGTCCCATTGGTGGCCTCTGTGAGCAAAAACAAGCAGGTGTCAGACTTACCGCTATGACAGAACAGGCACAGAAAAACCTCTCCTTCCTGCTCACTCTACCAGCAGGATCTAGAGCCAGCAGCTGCAGCTCGTTGCACATTCCACAGTCAACTCGGAAGTTGAGAGCCAGGCAATGAGGTGACAGAACTTTGCGAAGTGAACAAGCAAGGAGAAAAACCACTGTTCAGACGTGCATCCACCAAACCTCCTCTCTRCCTGAAAGATCAAGTAACTCACAACAAGCTTCCTGCACCCTTCCCAAGAGCAAACTGGTGTGCTTGTCTATCCACAGCTACAGGAGAAAAATCAGCTGGTGAGAAGGCCCTGGTTTGGGAAGGGAGGCAGTGGYGGACACCACACGGCTCCTGAGACTCAGAGAAGTAGAACTGGCCAGCAATTGGCAAGAGGCAGTCCCCATTTCTGGAGGGCCAGCAGGGAGGCTGAGAGCAGAGGCTCTGTGCCAAACCCAGCCTCCGCGGCCAGGCTAGCGCAGCTCTGGGCAGCCCCGCTGGCCCCCGCCTGGGCACTCACCGATCTCCATTTCGATGAAGGCTGCTTCGTCRGGCAGGGCTCTTGGGATCACGCCGGGATCACTGAAGCTCGTTCGCAGGAGCGTGGCCATGGCAAACAGAAAGAGAACTGCTGCAAACACAGGGATGGCTGGAGACAGTTGGACTGCCAGGTACCGACACCTGCAGGGAAACGCCAGGAGGGGATGAATCAGACCAGAGGAAGGTCCGCGTGACGCGGAGCCTAAAATCCTGGCAAGACACCAGAGTCCAGACTTTCCTGCATACCCTTCACAGCTAGGGAGACATTCAGTGCTTCCTTCCCCCGTTACCAGTGGGGTAACACCCTCGGGGCAGCAGCAATAACCAGCTATGCTCAGAAGTGCTACATTTTTAACGCAGCAAGCACCACTTCCCTTCCAAGGCTGAGCTACGGCCCGTGCTTCTCGCTAAGACACCCTCAGAAGGGCAGTGCTCTTGCACAGCCAAACACCTGGTCCCCTTCTCTGAGGCAAGGCACTTTCGAGCTCCAAATGCAGCAGAAAGGTCTTTCCATGCTGCCCCAAGGTAACATCAGTTTAAGAAAGAAAAAGAAAATGCAAACTCCCCAAGACATAAACCAGGAGGAGGAGGAGCAGCCTTAATCCCACACATACAGGTTAAACGCTCCCAGGTGCTTCGGGCTCGCCGCTACCCTTCTGGGCTGATCTCCACCAACATCAGGAGGAGCCATTTCTTCAGGCAGACAACCTCCACCAGGATCACGGTGCCCGTTTAGCCCCAGCAGCACAAGGCACCAACACAGACCGGGTTTTTCCAACATAAAGCAGGGCTCGAGCAAATTAACACAGCTCAGCAACACTAACAGTGCAAGGCTTGTTTGCCCTGAAATACAAGAGAGGCCCATAAAGAAATCTATGTTGCTAATCCCCTTCACTGAGACAGTGCAAGGGAGCAAGGAGAGTAATCTTATTATGTCCCACGTCACTTCCAGCCTCCCTTCCCCATAAGTGCTCCTTGAGAGGCCCTGCAGGATGGGCCATGCAGAATTCCTATGCAGAAGTTGTGCTCTGGAGTGGCACCAGGCTCATGAAACAGATTTTTAATATGGTTCCTTCCGAAAACAGTTTACACTGCAGAAAGTTCCTACGAGCTTAATGGAAATCCAACCCAAACCGTGGCATTTGGGTGGAAGTGCACCTTCCCTTGCAAGCTCTGCATCTGCAGCATCCCACCGCTGAAGCGGGGCCCAAAGACGCCCCTAATACCTGACCTTGCAGACATGGATCCGACCCAGATTCCTGTTCCCGTCCACCAGCACCCAACTGCTCGACAAGAAACTTTAAGGTCATTTTGGTAAAGGCTTGTAATTATCTCCAGTGAATTTGTCATCCTCATCAAGGGAATTTTTATGCCACTTGTGGGAGGAGTAATTCAATTTTGGATGGCCTTCTTATCCATTCCTTCTCTGAATGAAGTTTTTCACTCCACCAAGCTCTTTTGCAGCAAGAGAATTTTGCAAACTCATCATCCACCGCAGGAAGCCTCATCAGATTTGAATTTGCCAGTGCCTGATTTCAGTGACTGCCTGCTTTGTGCGGCGAGCTTCAGGAACCGAGCGCACGCGCGCCCCGAGCCAAGAGCGCCGCGCGCCCCGGCCACAGCTGCGCCAAGCGGCACCGCGCACAGCCCGCCCTCCAAACCAGCTAATTTTAGACACTACCACCTCTGTAATTACGTTAAACAACACGGCCTTCAAAGTTGGCCACATGCGAAGCTGTCTCAGCGCGGCCCCAAGATAACTTGGGCTTTGCTTTGCAAGGACAAAGTCTAGAGAGCTGCACGCCTGTCACCAATTAAATAGCAACTCGGGCCCGCTGCTGGGAAGGAACATAGTGCTGGTCTTGTGAAAGCGGGACACCGAGCCTGCCTCGCAGGCCGGGAGTTTGCCCCTTGCCCAGCTGACATGACAGCTTTTCTGCCCTGCTGTAACAACAAGGACATATTGTGAGCTTAAGGGAAAAAAAAAAATGGATGTGTGCAGTTTAAACGGCRTTAAAATTGAGCTGAAATTTGGCAAGAGGATCTAGTCTCAGGTATACACGAACACCTTCCTAAGTCTCTTARGCGCACCGTGGAGCAAGAGATTTATTACGTGCAAGCACGTGCTCCGGGCTGGGCGTGCTCCCGCAGGAGCAGATGTGCAAGCCCTGCACAGCGGCCCGAGGAGGGCCGGGATGGGGCCTGGCAGCGCCCCGCGGGCTCTGCCGGGGCTGCTGCCGCGCGCGGGACGCGACTCTCGCTGCTCCCGTCTCCTCCAGGGCTCGCGAGGGATCCCTGCCCGCCTGGGATGAGGCGAGCRCGGCCGCCGGAGCTGCAGCCCCAGCATCCACGTGGCCGCGCGGCAGGCAGGGATTGCAGGACGGGAGAGCCGGGCTCTGCGCCCTTCCCTCCGCGGCAGGAGGGCAGCGCTACCCAGTGCTGCATTCAGCCCTTCCCTTCACTCCCAGCGCAGCCAAGGGCTGCACAGAGCATGTCCCCGGTACAGAAGGAAAGAGCAGCCAAGGCAGACCGCAGCTCTCCCCAGAACCGGGCAGGTGGAAGGGCAGGGACAAGAGACCCGAAAACAAGAGACACGGGTCACCCGGTCCCATGGTGAAACACTATGTAGGGACTCGCAGCYGAAATGTTTACGTTACCCGGCTCCTCGAACAGCCCCTCGCTCAGCCGGGGCCGCTGGAGCCCAGTGCTCCCGGGCATGGGCACAGCAGTGGTGACAGCACCAGGGCATCACCGTGCCACCCTGCCCCAAGCCAGCCCGCAGCCAAGGGCACCGCTGTCAGGAGCCAGRCAAACACGCCCGGAGCATCCTGCACATCCATCCAAGCCGAGCACCTTTCCGCATCCGACTGGCAACAGCACCCGCGGGGGCTGACCCGGCGCTCACTAGTCAGAGAGCATCCAGGCTGAGGGAATCCTGCAGCGCAGTTAAGCTCGGGAATTCATTTCCATTAGTACGTAGCAGGCATTTTAGAGATCTTTTGTTCAAACTAGGAGGCAACAGAGACTTACTGTTGGGATGCTGCAGGGATACGTGCGCCCCGGCCCCCGCCCCGCGAGGCGCCCACGTTCTTGAGCGTCCTGTCATCGCGCAGGGGATAAGGYGATATTATCGCAACGTGTCACAGAGGGGTGGCGTGAGGAGGGATCACACAAAGAAATCATTAGAGTAGGGGGGGAGAAATGAAGGGGAAAAAAAAAGCAGCATGAAGCAACAGATGGGAGGATGCTCCGGGTTTATGGTGCAATGATTGATTATTTTGAGAACGCTTCAGAAGGCTCGTTGCGTGCAGCACATTAAGCAAAGTTATGGAAAAAGGGAAAAACAAACATGTTGTTTCCAGTGCGAGTGGACTTCAGCCACGTTCAGCAGGCAACACATCTCAYGGTCAGGTTCTCCAGGGTTTAATGCAAGCTCTGCGTTACCATTCACTGAAATCTCATTTGCAAACCATCTATTTGCTCTCTTAAACCAACGTGCAACCAAGCTGGGTACTTGCCGTGCACAACACCAGAGCAAAGCAACATCTTTACAACRTGTTGGACCCTCGTTCGAAAGCAGCTGCAGAGCACAGAGTCAGCTCTATCTCCCAGACTTGGGAAGATTTCCAGCAGCTAATGTACTTACTGTAGGCGTGGAACCTGGCCTTCTAAAACTCTGGGCAACTGGTGCACTGCAACGCCACAGTCTGGGGTCATTTACCAGCATTTGGGCACAATATGGGCTGTCCAGAGAACCTGCCTGCAGCTCTCGATAGCAACTCAGAAAACGCTTCCTTGAGACTCAATTCAAGAGCAGTTTCACCGCTAGCTCATTCCAGGCATTTCCAAACTAACCAATCCAGCAACCAAGTCTGTATGGAAGAGAAACGTTCTCCGAAGATACTGTTCCTTTTCCCAGCCATACTCAAATCTCAGCACAAACAGGGAGGTGGCGCCTTGGGATCTGCATAAATTTTGACAATACTTGACACAAACCTAACTGGAGAGGAAAGACATCTTTAGAAGCACATGTTATCAGTGCAAAACCTTGGAGGTCTGGGTTATGGCAAAGGGGAGAGAAAAGAAAGGCAGAAAGCTGAGAGACATGAAACGTCAACTTAAGTACTTCATATTACTGGAAAACAAAGCAATTTTAATCTCTAAAAGCTAAGAAGGTAGAAAGCACAGAGAGATAAACGCACTGGGTTATTGGAAAGGCAAACAGCAGTCACCTCAGGAGCCTGGCATGGCGAGCGCTACCAAATGCCTGTATCATTTATAAATGTCAGGCACCTAACTTCTGCTGAAAAGGACAGGGGGAAAAAAATATATATATATATATCAATCTATATAGATTCTGGAARGCTGAAAGTCTTTTGCTTAAGGTGAGCCAGTACTGCCACCCTGCTCAAATGCAAAGACAAAGTATCCAGAAGTCGAAGAGAGGCTGTTACCTCCCATCACCCCAACTCCAAAACCTACCTCACAAGGGTTTTACTTCTGCTGCTCTGCATGCTCAGATCCTAGAAGTGAGATAACCAAGTGCCCTCACACAAAAGCTTACGTGCCCAATAATCATCTAAAAATAACGCAAATGGAATATTAAACGTAGTTTTATGTAACACATTAYGGTCATAGAGTGTATCGGATGAACTATAGGAGTTGGATGCTGCAGGGATCGCTCTCAGGCTTTACGCAGCAGAAGGTGCCCTGTGCCGGGGTGGTGCTGACAGAGGTGCCCTTGGACAGAGGACTCCAGGCTCTGCAGATGGCTCCCTCGGAAGCCGGCACCACTCCAGTGCCCTCTGCTTTATCAGAAAGGGAGGAGCCGGAAGCCTAGGTAGCTTACGGAGAACTGGAATCAATCCTCCAGGCCTCACTCCTTTGCGAACAGAAATGTGATTCCAGGTCACAGCTGTGAGGGCTAAAGAATAAAAACCGTGCGCGGCTGGGTTGGCTTCAACCCCGTTTCACTGGAGACGCAGCCAATGGCATCGGACCTACTTGGAAAAGAAATAAATAAATAAGTTGCCACCAGCAGCCGCCTCCGAAAGGGAGACGCTGCCGCTTCCCGGCCGGAGCGGCGGCACTCAGTGCGTGACGCAGGCGCCGGTCACCGCGGCGAGAGCGGAGCCGAGCGGAGCGCGCGGGAGGAAGCACCAGGGCAGCGGGGCCTCCGGCTGCGCAGCGCGACGTTCCCGGCTCCCAGCGTCCACAGCTCGTGGTTAGACACGGCACTGGCGGCTCAGCTGAACAAAACGAGCCCTCAGAAGCCTCCCTGCCTTAACGTGCAGCMCTTAGAGACTCTCCTCCACCCGTCGCATTCTGTCTCCCTCACCCAAGCCAAATCCTAACAGCACAATCGGAATCTGGAATCCTTCCTCTGGCCAGCTAACTTTAAAGAAGAGACGGAATTTCCACACAAACATCAAGGCAGAAAAGAACAAATAATGCACTCGGCAAAAGAAAGAMAACMACAACAACACATTTAAAGGCACACTGAAGACACAGAACGTGGATGGGGCTTTTCAAAGGTCATGCTGATCAGTTTGGTTGGTGGAAGAGAGAAATTTGGGTGCAATTATGATTGGAAAAGTGATGCTTCATTCATATCCCTGACACAAGATTCCCAAACTCAACAATTCCAAACCATTAAAATCTCTTTCAAGCAGAAAATTTTGAGTCCCTTGGCTCTGAAGGCACCAGAATGACTGTTTTTGGTTCTTCAGGCTTTTCCCATTCTCCCTGGCCCACGCCATTCACAACCCAAACTCACCCATTCACGCACTATTCTGCCCCAGCAGWAGGTCTCTCTGGCAGCAGCCCCTGAAGACCCCTCATCTCCCCAGAGGGCAAATCCGGGATGTCTCCAGGGGAGAAGGGCCGTGATGCATCGGAATCATCCCGGAGCATTTTCCGTCCAAGACCTGCTCCGCTCACAGCCAGGCTAACCCATCCCGCTGCCGCCTCGGGCGGGAAGCACCGGCGCCTCCGGCACCGCTTCCCTGGGCCGCACGGGGCAAGCGGAGCGCACGGGGCGCCGCTTTGCCCTGCTGCTGAGGACAGCCTCCACGGGGAGCACGAGCAATTAGCCCTCGCAATCAGCGTTCCTGCAGCCTTTAACGCTTATTAATTCCTCCCACAAGGCAGGAAGCCTTAGCCTCGTTTTCCAGATTAGGGGGCGGAGGGGACAGTGGGGACATTTCTTACCCATGAAGCGAGCCCGAGGTAGGGATCATTTTGACTTTTAAATGCAGGAAATCCATCCGCTCGTATCGCGGCCGCATGACACCTCCGAAGGCACGTGGCAGCCGAGCGGAAAAACCGGTCTTGGACCTGAGTGGGGCTCCAGGTCAGCCACTTCCTCGCTTCTGCCTGGATGTAGCAAGGACTGTTCCAGAAAGACCTTTCCAAGGTACCCGCTAGCAAAAGGAGCTCAGGAGCCAAGGGAAGTCACGACAAGTTCCCCCCCACTCTGGGCAAGATGCCTGGGAGACCAGCACAGAGTCAGGTCTGGTTTTCCCAAATGCTTCACGTATCTGTCAGAATAACCAGGGCTTGTCAAGCGAGYGGTTTGCTCCGCGTTTTTACTTCCCAGATTTCTTCCCAGATTGCTTTCCTGGCTTAGAGCTCCGCGCACAGCCTTTGTGCCACGTCCAGGATCGCTGCCCCCCGCCTCAAGAGCGGCACAAGCGGACACCAAGTTTCACAACTGCTCAAACCGACCCCGGCCCATGCCCGGGCTGCGAGGGGCAGCCCTGCCCCTGCCCACCCCCTGCCCCTCCACTGCTGCCGTTAGCCCCACGCGTGCTCGGTGCCGTTTATTCTGCACAGGAGCAGTTYGCAGCCACGTCACAAACCTAAACCCGGCAGGGAAGCGCTGCAGGTGACGAGGAAGGTCCTGCCCTTTGGGCAGCACCGAAAGCTTCTGGCCGCAGCTCCTCGGGGCGTGGAGCAGCTCTAAAAACGGGACAGATCCCGCCCAAACTAACTGTCCTCAAGCTGCTGCAGGGGCCGCTGGACGGGAGCCAAGCCCTCCCCACGTGCCTATGGAGACGCTCGCTGCATTTTGGTTGTGTTAATTGAATTTTCAGCAACCCGACGTGCCTCGGCAGCCCCAGGCGCACGGCACCAGGGCCCGGCAGAGCAGCCTGCGGCAGCGCCGGGGCCACGAGCCCTGTGCCCAGAGCGCCAGGAGCCCCAAACTCCATGTCCACCCACCGGGCACCGTGACGCGGAGCCCAACGGCCCCGTCCTCGCTCAGCGCCCCCGCCAAGGCCAGCGGGCACCCCCGGGCGCTGCGCGCGGCCCCTTCCGCGCCGCCGACTCACTCGAAGGCGAAGAAGAGCGCGCAGGTGCCGAGGATGAGGAAGAGCGTCAGGTAGAAGATGCCCTTCTGTCGGGCCATCATGATGCGCCCGTCGCAGCAGAACGTGTTCCTGCCCGGCAGCTTCTCCCATTTCCGCACCACCTTCTTCCTCGCCACCATCACCGACA